CACCGTGCTGGTCGTTGCTCATCGACTGAGTACAGTAGAGAAGGCAAACAGCATCATCGTAATCGACAGGGGCCAAGTAGTTGAACAGGGCACGCACAGTGAACTGATGACCAGAGGGGGGCTCTACAACCAGCTGGTGCAGAGGCAGATCCTGGGTTTACAGACAGAGGAGGAGTTTTCGAAACCTTCTGATGTGCTCAGCTGGAGGTCTGAAGAAGATTTTCAGAGGAGAAGAAAAACTAGCAGCACCAGTGAGTCTGAGGGCAATGTTCGGTACTGAGAGTTAGTCCAGTGGGTGAATTGCAGTTCTTTTTTAAATAAAAAATATATTGGTTTAGAATATGCAATCATTATTAAATAAAACTTGAAATGGCAGTCACTGTATGTACTCTTGTAAGTTTTACCTCATCTTTGCTGCTTTGTTGTAATATTTCTTGGTAATTGGTTTTCTTGTTTTTCTTTATTTGTGTGCAAAAACAGTAGAAAACCCAATTTAATGTTGTTCTATAACTTTTAAAAACACTACTGAGAACAGAGATAAAGTGCCTTGATTTGTAGATTGGTCTGCTTAAAGTAGATCTATGATTGTAACTGATGAAAGTAAAAATACTGCACATCTTCAATTGTGACTGTGCTGATGGATGTAAAGGGAACAATAAAAATATGTTAAAGTACTGACTCATCTCCTTCATGGGTTCTCATATGTTGGAGTCCTGCCAAATGCTGCGTTCAAGGTCTAAAATCCTCTCAGCGTGTATCATGTTTTTTAAGTTGTATGAGCATTTTTGACTTATTTTTGAAGAGTATGTGTTTTGATGAGCACAGGGACATTGACGATCTTTTCAGTGAGGAAGATTTAATCATCTCTTGTGAAAGCTTTAATTATAAGGCATATCACTGTAATGGATGGAAAAAACAAAATACCCCCATGATATACAACACTGGAATACTGCGATAAAGGGTTGATTGAGTGTCAAATGTGAATCAAGGAAAATGTTATTTTGAATTACAAAATAGCAGAAGTTATTTTCATTAGTTAAAATAACTAAGGCATTAGTAAAAATATTCATTTGAATTAAAGCTTATTGATAAAAGGTAGTGAGAAATAATAAAAATATAAATTATAATTATATAAATAAAATTTAACTTACTTCAGAAATTAGTAAGACACTTTTTCTTTTCTTTTTTTCTTTTTTGTGGCGTCACTTTCACAGCCAAATATCTTTGTCCATTTTACACACAGGGTCTATGGTCTAAAACTACGGTTTCGGTAATATCGTTTTGCCCGTGATGTTCGTAAACATCGCACGAGGCCTAAAGCCTGATTTAGTCAGTTGTGTGTTAGTTCCTGTTAGCGCTGCTCAGTCAGCTGTCACACAGCCTGAAAGGAGAAGAACCCCGCAAAAAACCGCAGGACAGAGTAGAGACAGCACACAGACAACATGTCCAGTTTTTCCAACAAGTTTGACGGCTACACGATGACGCAGCTCAACGAAATCCTGGAAGACGACAGTAAACTGACAAAAATGGTAAACGAAATGGACGAGGTACGTGGAGCTTTGTCGGCTTTTGTGTTTTTGTTCACTGTTAGCTATTGACTATCTTCTCTCCGCGAACTATTTGTTCTCAGCCCTTTGTTGTTCGCTTCCAAACGTACCTCAAAGAAATGTTACAAAATCTATTTTTTCGTGTTATTAATACCTTTTGCAGTACAAGCGAACATAACCAACGTCAAACGTTTCTGAAGCTTTAGAAATCATTAACCTTGGATCGCAGCGTTTGGAAGCATTGTCAAGTTTTTAAACATGGTGGTTTCTCAGTTTGAGTGATTTCCTATCCATTTAACAGTTCTTTGATAGATATCAGAGGGTCAACAGTATACGGTAAACGGTTTAGGTCTATGTGATGACAGTACTTAACCAAAGTCCCGATCAGAAAATAAGATGTTTTAAAGTATTGACCTAGCTTTCACGTCGGTTAAGGGTCAGACTCTGCAGCAAACGTCACTGAACAAACCCCAGTCTAAAGCACAGTTTCTTTTTAAGCGCAAATTGATATTTCCTAGAACAACAAAACTTAACAAGCAAATGGCGTATTTGCAAACCCTTGACGTCACCAACGTTTCCATAAGCTTAGGTTTCAGTTATTACTAAACCGGTGCTGAACCATCAAAACTTAAGGCGGTTATCAGCTCATGGTTAATGAATAAGCATATTTTTAAAGTAGAGACACAATATCATCATATGAAATTGTTTCAAAAACAACGAACTGTTGATTAAAATGTTTAACCTAGGTGGTTGTTGTTTATTTTTCAGAGACTTTTTAGCATGGGGAAAAGACGTGAAAAGCTGCCCTTTGCTCACCTTAGTGATGGGTTAAAAGCAGAGGTTCAATTTCGTTGTATCCCCATGTTACAATGACAATAAAGACTATAATATTTATTATTATTTAAAATCACATTTCTGTTCAGTGCAAATGTTTTAAGCACTACTTGAGGAACACGATAACAAAAAACAAATTTGGACACATTTTATGACGTCAGAACTCGTTTTTCTGGAAAAACCTAAATGTCTTAATAATAACAAATGGAGAGATAATTAAATGAGAAAATGGAGGCAGGTTACAATTATTAGTCGATTCATGTGACTGACAACATGAGTATAATTAAAAGTAAAAGTAAACATTATTTACTTGGTGTGATGTTTAGTATTTGAATGGTAATGTTGCCCATGATTCCCCCCAACATCAGATGTATTGGGATGTCTCCCTTTCTTAAAGGTGTACACAGTGCATGTTGGTCATTGATCAATGCAGCGCTGTTCATGCGGTTCTTGACTTGGGTCAAAGATATGTTCCTATGACATGAACTCACATACTGTACATAAGTGTACAGTAGGTACTTATGCACAGTATGCTAACCTACTGGTGTCTTCATAATCTTATAATCTTATCATATAAAAACATCACAACAGGTCTGACTTACACCTGGGAGCCATAATAAAGGGCAGAAACAATCCAATGTATGGCCTACAACCAGAAAATGTAAACAAAGCCATCTTCCACGTACAGCTCCGTATGATATTGCATTTCTCCACTCTACTATTCCCAACTAATTATGGGAACTAGTTGGCAAGAAGCATATTAAGGCAGAATGGAGATATATTGGAATGATGGAACAAGACTTTCTTATAAATTTAAAGGAGATGGTGACATATGAAATGCCATTGGATGAAGAAGTTGTAAACCGAGGATCCCGTGTTTTTTGGAATTCCCTAAGCACTTGTGCTCTCGGTTCATATCTGTGTTGCTTTGCTCTAGTAACACAATGATTTGACTAAGGCTTGGCTTTGTAGTGCAAAGAACATGTTACAGTATTTTTGATATATGCAATATGTTTTTAAAAATAATAGTAACAAAAGGGAGCAAAGCCACATATTCCTAATCTCACAGGGATTTTATTTTAGAGAATGCACATGTAAACACAAAACAAAGCTTTAAATACTTAACACGCATGAAGTGAAAGAAAATATACTCAAAAAAAGTAGGAGTTTACTCGATCAAAGTGCTGCCTCCTGCTTAAAAACGTGTATTGTTTTGTTAAGGCAACAGTAAACAAAGGTTAGGACTACAAGTTATATTTTATGATGCCATCTACTGCATAAAGAGAGCCAAAGCGGCATGTGCAGTTTAGGTGTTTTTATTAATAATAAAAAGAAATCATGTGTTGAAAATTAAAAAGCATGGTTTTTTATTGAGTTATGGTATTTGTATTTTCTGCAGAAATTTGGTCATAGAACAAGAATTGGTCTTTAATGCAGAATTCAAATCTTTCTCAAGATTTTTGAAGAACAGATTTCCAACAAATTTGTGCCTGTGCAAAACGCTTAATCCCCAGTTTCTCATCTCACTCTGGTCATTAGAAGGTCTACAGTCTGTATCCTAGTGGTGATTTCAAACCAAAAAAAGACAAAAGCTTGTGTCAGGAGGAGTATTCCATAGGCTTTAATCTTGGCTAAAGTCCTACTGGAGCTGTGTCCTAACATCGCGTGTCCTAAGTAATCTGCTGTAAAGTGCCAGCACATCAAGAAGTTCACCTGTCTTTTTTCTTTCACTCTGTGCTTTGAGCATGGATCAGTAATTACAAACATTAAACTCATTGTCCAATGGCAGGATTCTTTTTGTCTGCTGTTGCAGCACTGTGGTTTTCACCCAGTGAAGTGAGGTAGCACGTGCTCTCATTTGGATTTCAAATGAAAAGAAGAGAAGTCTCTTGAGAGCCACGTGAGAAACTGTATAATCTTCTGTATCTGCATCAGAACTGCTTTCTCCTTTGGATAAAAAAAGGAGCGCATGGTATTTTTAGCTTTTTGGCTGATTGCTGTGCCTGTATGAAGCAGCCCTTTGTGCTGCCAACTCTGCTTCAGATCCACACCCTGTCTGATTGTCTCCATGGTTTCGTTTTCCTCTTCCGTAAGTCGCAGAAAGGGAGGGACCTGTTTATCGCTGTGACGTAGCAGTTGTTGACTTAACTTAGTCACAAGGCTGTTTTAGAGGTGAAAGGAGCCAAGTGAAGACATGCCTCATCCTTAGGTGGAGCTGTCCTCTGGATTTTTTCTGAGTAACACACAGGGAATAGACAAAGGAGGTGGGTGTCTTGAGGAACTGAGTGAAACTCAAGAAACTGAGAAGGAATGAGTGTACAGCTGTTGTGTATGAACACAAACCCTCAGTCAGATTAACACACACGCATGTGTGCTGTAGGCAATAATCGTCTGGTTTTGTAAAACACTCATTAAAGAACACCCACATACAGTAATGGTTCTGAATAATGCAAATATAATTTCAACAATTTGCTTGTATTTTGTAAATCTTTTATTTTATGTTATGCATGCACACAGTATATTCCACGGAATTTCACATTACAACGGGGTTTTTGTCCTGGTTTGCGCATGTACATTTCTACTTACATTACTTTATTTCAGTTGCAATTTTCACCATAAAGAATCAGTAATTTTTTTTTTTAAAGCTACTTGGATCTGGACACAGTTAAAGCCATTTTTCTAACTTACCGTATTTAGGGGCTAATTTGCATAGTCTTTATAGGACTGTAACCATGTAAAAATAATGGCAGCCATTGTAAGCAAGGACTGTTAATTTCTAAAGATGATCCGTGTACTAAGTTCAGTTGAAGCACAGCTTAGGTAACTTATAATGTTGCTTGAATGTTATGTTATGTTATGTGGTGGAGGGGATTGAGTATCTGAATGAATCTAGGAGCTGTGTTGTCGGGGGCTTAAGGGTAGGATCTCCCAAGGCAAACAGGTCATATACGACTGATCAGA